GCTGCTGTGAGAAAAGGCTATAAACGATCCACACCTGCAGGATCCTCACATGGATAGTACTCGGGACAACTTCTTTGTTTACAGTCGTGACGTAATGACGCAGCGGCATGCTCGAATTTCCCGCGAAAACCTACCCGTACCACTCAACTTAGAACACATTATTATAAGCTGACCGTTGTGAAACACTGGCTGGTTATGTACTTGCTCAAATATTGATTTTGGATAATTTTTAACCAAAAAAAAAAAAAAAAAAAAGTTACGGACTGCAGCTTTAAGTTTGGATAGTGCACTTTCACGTCTATGTTCAAAAAGAGGTTAACTTATCTTACAAATCATTTTACTCCTTTATATAAAAATATGACTAAGTCATGTAACTCAATATTATGAAAGCAGCCGTAAAGGTTGTGATTACACACAATGAAACTAATAAACACTTAATTATGAGCGTTGATTAAAATATTTAACAACCTGCTGCTGCAGTCTAAATGGTTTAAAATAAAACAAACACGCATATAAATGAGGAAAAATAGCATTAGTATTATATAAAATCGCAAATTTACATGAAAATAACTATTTTAAAGCACTGAAACGGATTGATCTCAGCTCACAATTAGCTTTAATTACACTGACCAATAATAAATGATCTTGGATTAAAGTCTGGTGTAAGTTTATCACGATTAACTGGATTGATATAGTAAAGATTATCATTATTATGATCATCAATAATTAGCAAGCAATATTTTGATTACACAGCTTGCGTAACTTTGACACAACCAGAGGTTTATATCGCTGATATTACTCTAATGATGTTATAAACGTGATAAACATGTTTCTGTCTCACCATAAACCTCTTGTCTGTATTTGAGTCCAAAAGCTCCGCAGTTATTGACCTCCTTCTGACCAACGCGAACTTTATACTGCGAGGAGAAGCTCTCGCTGAACGGATAGGAGCGCTTGGGCATCTTCACAACCACAGCTTCTAAAACACGACGACTAAAGCGACGGAGAACGGGAAATAAACAAACTACGAACAAACAAACAACCGTGCAGGAAGAAAAACACGCGTCCGCGCTTTAAGGACTCCTCTTCTTCTTCAGCCGCGGAGCTGCAGCGGCGGACGCACGCGAGGACACGCTCAGCGCCACCTGCAGGTGTGTATGTGCTACAGCATGTCTTCACTATACTGTACATTACACTTTGTTTTTGTATTGAATGCAATGACATTTAAGCACTTCTACATGTGATGCATGTGATACAAATCAAAACAAATAAATTAAAATAATAAATGGTATATAGGGAACATAACAACTAAAAATTATTATTAGTTAATTTAATAAATAATTATTATTAGTGTAAATAAAATAATAAAATATTACATTATTTTAATAATAAATAATACAAATAATTGTATAAATAAATAAAGTAAATAGTGTAAATAAAATAATATTAATAAAAAAATAACAATAATCATAATTGTTAAATAGTATAAACACAATAAGTGTAACATATTTAATAATAAATAATGTAAATAAAATAATTATTATTAGTTAATTTAATAAATAATTATTATTAGTGTAAATAAAATAATAAAATATTACATTATTTTAATAATAAATAATACAAATAATTGTATAAATAAATGAAGTAAATAGTGTAAATAAAATACTAAATATTAATAAAAAAAAAATAATCATAATTGTTAAATAGTATAAACACAACAAGTGTAACATATTTAATAAAAAAATTTAATAATTATTAAATAGCACAAATAAAGTAAATAGTGTAAAAATAATAAAATAATGACATTTTAAAAAGTTTATTCACACCCACTGTCTGATTATTTGACTTGTTCCTGCAGTGTTTGTAGTCACGACTGGCTCATGGGTCTGAGATCAGATCATCTTGGCATCGAGGAGGAGAACACAGTGTTCTCCGTCTGAATCTATTTCTGACGCAGCTAATAGATTTAATTTAATAAATAATTATTATTAGTGTAAATAAAATAATAAAATATTACATTATTTTAATAATAAATAATACAAATAATTGTATAAATAAATAAAGTAAATAGTGTAAATAAAATAATATTAATAAAAAAATAACAATAATCATAATTGTTAAATAGTATAAACACAATAAGTGTAACATATTTAATAAAAAAATATTAATAATGATTAAATAGCACAAATAAAGTAAATAGTGTAAAAATAATAAAATAATGACATTTTAAAAAGTTTATTCACACCCACTGTCTGATTATTTGACTTGTTCCTGCAGTGTTTGTAGTCACGACTGGCTCATGGGTCTGAGATCAGATCATCTTGGCATCGAGGAGGAGAACACAGTGTTCTCCGTCTGAATCTATTTCTGACGCAGCTAATAGTGCGTCTAACTTAATTATATCCGACATCAGACAAGGAAAGAAGCCTGCTAAACCAGTGCGGCACAAAGGAAAAACCCGTTTTAATGGAAAGACACGCTTTCGTGATCTTATTCTAAAAGCAGAAAGTGAAATGCACACAACCAAAAAAAAAGAAATAAACACAGTTTCAGGGGATTCGGTTTATGTGTCTCACTGGAAACAAGAAACATAATCAACTGAATCCCAAAAACTCAACATTAACATCAGTGCCATTATTTATGATCAGGTGTTACAGTCGATCTGTTATAACGCCTGCACATACACAGCCATTCAGAGCTGATCTTCCGTCAACTACAACATTGCTAAGAGAGTTTTCTGAATGCCAAGCAGTGAAACCAAGAGTCCCGCGGTGCTGATGGTCTTCAGGAGGATTGTGGGCGATCCTAGAACATCTGGATCATGCATTCCCTGGATTTGCCAACGCCGACCCACTTAACTGTGGTGAAGAGATGCAAAGCTGAGTTTGGGTCACAGGAGGATGCTGTGTGTTTTTACAAAGTCACGTGAGTTTGCGCTACGAGACGGGATAACTTGACTAGCAGCGGACCGATCTCTTCACAGCGTCTATATGTTGTTCTGGTCGTTCTGAAATGCTTGAGCAAAGTATTTCTGTATAATTAATGTCTTACACGACTGCGCTCCCAAACAGCAGCATCCGCCTCTAAATGCAATGACCGCATTTATTGTGTTACGTCTGCTCTCTCTGAGGCACAAGTAATTTATTACATAAAAAAATTATTAAATTCAGTGGCTTCTCCTAGTTTTCTTAGAGAGTGACGATTTTGTTCTCTTTGACTCGTTGGATGGAAACGGTGCTTTATTCGCAAATGTTTTATGCGATATTCCAGTTTTGCGCATAAGTTAAATTCGCATCTTTGGATGGAAACACAGCTAGTGTCAGTGACTTACTAGGAACGCCGATGTGATTCTCCACAAAGCGGATGTAGTTCTGGGCTTTGGGAGGAAGATCGTTCCACTTCCTGGCCGCTGATGTGTCCGTCTTCCATCCGGAAAACATCTCGTATTCGACCTCCACCTTCTGCAGCACCTCCATGTTTGCTAGAAGCACAGAGAGATGCACGAAGAGAATGAGACAGAAGTAAAGTGCGCATGCATGGAACAGGGTTATTTATGGAAGCTCGTTTCCACCACTGAATAAAAAAAAAAAAAAAAAGGTTTTTGCGACATTTTGTCTCACAATTCTGACTT